TTGATCTCATATTCTTCATTGAAATACTTGAGGGAAGCAGTTGTAAGAACATATGAGGCAACTTGGGTAATTGTGTTTGGCCACATGCTGTAAGAGGGAGAAACTCTCTGCTGTGATTCCAGCCAGAGGCCATCCAGAGGGGAAATGGCCCAAAGTTGTTACAATGATGAAAATGAACATCTTGGCTTTCTGTGGCTGAAAAGGCAAAGGTGCAGGATGAGGTTCCATAAAGGACTGAGCCTGAGTCTTCTATTTAAATGCCTCCAGGAAAATGGTGCAGATCTGTATTTCTTTGTCTTGTATTTTCATCTTAGCTGCAATTGGAATACCTGGATTTAACTCGTCAGCTTTCTTAGAGGTTCAGGAATCTTTGCTGTTTGTACTTGAAATTTTACAGTAGGCATTCTTTCTATATTCAGCATGCTTACCAAGGAGTTCTTTAGCTCTTCAGCACAGCCCAGGGGAATATTAGTTTCATAGTGCTATAAATTTAATATAAAATAAATGATGCATTCAGTATAGAATGTTTTATCAGTCTTTTTTTCTCTGCTTTTCATCATCATTCATCAGCATATCAGGTGAAGATTTTTAAATGTGTTGTAACTGAGAATAGTTTAAACGTTGATTGTGTTTGAAAGCTGGGAAATTATCTAGGAGAGCATTACAGTAAACATTTGGTTTTGTATGATCAACAGTGAAATAACTTGGGCTTTAGGGGTAGTGTCAGTATGCTGTTAACAGGATGGTTTTGCCTTTGGTACTGAGCTGTCTTAATGCTTGAAATTTGACAGCAGCAGTAAATCTCTTCCACAGGTTCAGAGGCTCCTAAAGGAAATAATCAATATCAGAAATATAATCAAATGTTGGCATTTAGTCAAGGAATCTATTTTAATACGGTGGTATAAGTCCAAAGACAAGCCTTTGGAATTTTTGGGCAGATCAGTGGTAGCTGGCAAGTGAATTCCTTTACAGGATCAATAAAGAAATGCCAGACCTGGATCAAAGTTTGCTGCAGTGGTTTAGATGCACACACAAATAATATCAGGATCATGCAATGCCCTGAGTTGGAAGGGACCCACAACTGAGTCTAGGAATCCCACCAGGAATTCCCCAAGAATCCCACCACGTGCCTGAGAGCATTGTCCAAATGACCATAAGGCACTGGAGAAATAAGACCTAAGTTAATGGTTATAAGCCTTAGGTTCTCTGCAATTGTTTTGTATAGGGAAAACAGTGCAAAGGAGAAGGTGGCAACAAGAGTGGATAAAAAATAAGATGTTAAAATCAGAGAGCTCAAGAGGAGGAATCAGGGTTTGTGGTCCTCAGCACTGGTCCAGTGGAAGATGTCTCTGTCCCTGGCAGGGGCTTGGGAGATGACCTTTAAGGTCTCTTCCAGCCCAAAGCTGTCTACTATGAAAAATAGACCATGTTTGTCTGTGTGTGAGTACATTTGGAAACTTGGGAGGTGAAAAAAATCCTCAGTACTGAAGGAATCAATAGTAAGCTCAATTCTCAGTGCAGAGCTGAGACAAGAGGGATGGAGCAAGGAAGCAGGGAGACGTGAGCTCTGCACCCAGCTGAGCTCAGGAGACTGGCCATTATCAGGCTGGATAATGGTGTTTGGAAAAAGCAGGGTTATCTCAGGTACCAGATGAGTTTTATGGCAGCCACTATGTTATTGTCCTTTAACAAACAAACCAGATATTTAATTGTGCAAATTGTACAGATTCTTGTTTTGAAAAAAATCCTCATTATGCTTCAGAGCTTCTAAATATACAGAAAACACCCTGTGTGACAACTTATATATTTTAAGACTTAGCTTATGTGTATACATATTTTCCATTTTTCTCCATTTATAATATGGATCAGTTTGCATCACAGGATTTTTGTGGGTTTGTTTTTTTGTTTGCCTATCTTGAACTTATTTTTAACTAAAAAAATATGGCTGCACTTCTGAATCCCTTTTCCACTCATCTCTGTCTTAATTTAAATGGACTTTTGATAATTAATTACGACTATTAACTTTGAGGACTTTAAACCTGGCTGATCATAAGGGGAAAAGCAGTGCTCTGTGAATACTTCCTAGAGCTGTACCCATTGATGGGGTTGCCTGAGGAGTGCCAACACAATGTGCATAAATTCCATTGTCTGACATTTTGTGCTTGGAAGAGCAGTGTGGAAGGGAAGCAGCAGCTCTCAGCCAGGCTCAGCTCAAGCTGACCTCAGAACAGTTCAAATTGCACAGCACACTTCTGTACCCACTGATGCTCCAAGTGATGAGGCTGCTTCTGTGTTTGTGTTGGCAAAGACAGGAATTGCTCATCACAAATACAAATGAAAACAGCTATGTCAGATTTTAAAATTCTTGTGCGTGTATGACTTAAAAATAATTACATAAAATCTGTAGTTATCAACAAGTAATATCTCTCAGAGAGAAGGCTTTTTCCTGTAATGTTCTGTGTTCTGAAATGTCACTAAATTGGGCTCATATTTATGTTTTCTGGAGCAGACTTGCCTCTGCCATGTTCTTGCTTTCTCCAGGGCTCAATCCCAGTATGACAGTTGTGTGTGCTTGGCTGCCTTCTCCCTGGTGAAGGTAATCATTGGCTTCCAAGATAACTAAATAGAAATCCACTTCTGCCTTTTAAAATGAGGCCCCAAATGAGGAGGTTAAATTCAGAGCTCCATTTAGTTGAAAGACAGTTTTAACCAAAATTGCTTCTGTGCTTCTGCTCTTATTTAAAAATGCATGATTCTGATTGCTGAGTAGTATTGAGGTTTTTTTGTAATGTCTGCATATTTCAGCCTAGGGAAATGGAGAGGAGGAGATCAATTTTCATAGAGATGTTTAGATGAAAAATTGTGCAAGAAACTACTTTGCTTTACCAATTAGCAACTTTAATATTATCTTCTAATCCCAAGACCTGTTACTGCTGTCCAGCAAGTAACCCTTCTGAAACAGCTGGACAAGTCTACTGCTCTCTCAGTCCTAATGATATTTAACTTCCCAGCCTCTTCACTGCACATCTTTAATTAATTTAGGTAAATAAATGCACCAAAATTACAAAAAGGAATCACATTAAATGATAGATGCTTTTACTTTCTCACACAAACCCCATCTTTTTTTAAAAGGAAGTAAAACCCAAATCTGCACAAATAATGGTTTGAAGTTTCTGTAAGTGTTTGATGCAGCCTATCTGTCACCCTTTTTCCTTTATGTAGAAGGAAACTGGTGAGGAGAATAACTCAGTGATCTTGAAAGCACAGTAGATAAAAACATAGGCTTCTTTTTTTACCCCTCTGTTGTATGAAGATGTTGTGAAGAACCCTCTTCAATCTGTTGAAGATTAAAGTTGAAACTCGGCATATTAGAAGGAATAACTAAAAAATATAGTATGTTTATTTACTGTAGTATAAAAAAGATGAACGAGGAAATTGTCTGGGGATTGAAAGGATAGAAAACTCTCACAAAGGAAGTAGTAGTCTACTTTTTCTGGTGCTGTTTGCTAGGCAAACATCTAAGAAATGTCTTATAATAAATAGCACACTGTTAAATGGATCTATTGGCTAGTGCTTTCAAAACTCTTCTGGTTTCTATAAAAAAAGTATTAAAATTTATTTTGAAAGCTTAGCTGTATTAGGTGATCTGTCTTAGCAAAACAGTGTGTGGTTTGTTGGTTTATTTGTTTTTATAGTAAATAAATTTGCATTAATGACTTACATTCCTTCTCCTTCTTTGCTTAGCTGTAGCATAACATTTATTTCACCTTAACTTTTTGGTGCAACTTTCTCCTGTGGCAAAAAATGGACAAAAATCTAAGCAGATCACGGGCTGAGAGAACTAGTGATGAGATAGATCTGGTGGGGGTTTTTTCTGGAGTAGAGGACTTGTTGTTGGGGTCTCCAGGATCAGTGACTAAAACACTGGAAAAGATTACTTAAAAACAAATTCAGGCTACTTTCTGGCAGCAGTGTAGTGAGGTTCTTGGATCCATTTAATTTTTAGGATCATATAAATTGCTGTCATAGTTTCACTCCTTGCATTCTGCTAAAATCTGTACCTGCTTCCTCTTGAGAGTGACATTCCCCTTGGACTTTGTTCAGGACCTCAAAGCTAATAATGACAAGGAATGACAGAAGAAAAAGAACTGAGATGTGACTGTCTGGTCATAGCTGGAATTATGGGGATCTGCAAACTGAACAACTAAACAGGAAAAATTTGACACCAAGGTCTTTTCACAGATTAATAAAATAATAAGTTCCTGGAATTAAACGTTCACAAAACAAATTATATAATTTGGCTTTTGTTTTTTCCTCTGTTATTTTGGGAAATCTCCAGCTGTAAACTTTACTGCTAACATATGGGATAGGTGCTCCAATAATTGATCTCAAATCATCTTTTCCTTAGTAGGAACTTCCTAAAAGCTGTCTAAATCTTGAGTCATCATAGAGAAGTATTGACAAGAAATACATTGGAAAAAATCTTATGAGAAATCAAATCACACTGAGACACACATTAGATCCTTAATGGCTTTTTAAAATTAAAAAAACTTCTGTTCTGGCATAGATTTTTTTGAAATTTTTTTTTTGATCTTATAAAAAACCAAATCACTCTGAGAGACACATTGGATCCTTAATGGCTTTTTAAAATTTAAAAACTTCTGTTCTGGCATAGATTTTTTTTTTTCACTTCAGAATTTTGCTACCTCGGTATGGGTGGAGGATGAAAATAAAATAGCATGTGAATTTTGCCAGCAGCTGAAGTTTGTTCTACAGAGGGGGAATAAAACCTGGCATCACTTGACATTCCACTGTCTTGCATGCTATTCTTGTTGTACGCCAGGATGGAAAAATTCACGTCTGTAATTTTACAGTTGGGATTATGCTGATGTCTGTGTCAAACTCATGGAGAATGTGGTGGAGTGCCTAATGCTGATGTTTGGGAGCCCCTTGCAGTGCCTGGGGAGGGGCTCTCAGTGCTGCTCTCTCTGGATTCACAGACGATCCGCTGTGGCCCGCATCCAGGAGCTCTTCAGGAGGAGGAAGGAGAGGAAGGAGATGGAGGAGCTGGAGACGCTGAACATCAGGCGGCCCCTGATAAAGATGGTTTACAAAGGGCACCGCAACTCCCGCACCATGGTACAGCCTCTGGGGCTTGGGGGCTGGGGCTTCATGGGCTCACCCAGGGCAGCTGCGCCTGCTGGCCTGGCCAGAAAGGGTCTGGGGGTTCTCTGTAAGCGCTCTGGCTTCTGTGCTCACTTAGAAGGCACAGAATTTGCTCTGTGAAAATAAAAATTAGTGTGACTCGTGTCACTGTGAAAGGCATTGAAATACTCCTGAGTTTAAGGCTCTCTCCCCTTAACATCCGTTGAAATTTGGGGTATTTTTCTTCTTTTTCATTTTCTCTCTCAGCTTATGTGGCATAAAATGTGCCTACCTTCCAAATTATTATTTAATCCTCATTTTCCTCTTCCAAGCTGTTCAAAATTATTATTTAATCTTTCAATTTGAAGAGCCTGGAAGGAAAAGTGAGGATCAAATTGGAGTTTTGAAGAACCTTAACATCTCTGAATTAAAAAAAGGAAGGAGTGCTAGTTATTAAATTATAATTTAGCTACTAGATGCCTTGTCTGATTCAAACAAAATCCTGTATTTTAAGAACAACGCAGTTATTGTGTTCGTAAAGCAATGGTACACGAAAAACAGATGCTACTTTCCTTTATTTCTTCTGTCTGGTTTTTGCAATATTTTGAACATGTGAAGTTCTGTGTTCTAGGTGGTATTTTGCAGAAATAGCTGGTGTGTTATTTTGCAGCTGATGTGAGGAGTAGTCCCTTTACCCCCAAAAAGCCATTTTCTAGGTTTTGTGTGAATAGCTTTGATTACACTGGGAAAAATGCTTGACTAAATACCTATTTCAGTCTACATAAGCAACGGGGTTTAGAATACACTTTGATTAATGACAAGGAGTTTTGCACTGTATTTCAGAAAGGTATTTGCATTGATCAAACCCTGATTAGTTTAAAAGTCCTGGCATCAGGCACTTTCTGGTTAAAAGATACTAAAAGTGAGTTCATCTAAGGCTTAATTCAGTCTCTGCATAATTGTTAATATCCAGATTATTTAACAGATTTTGTTGTTTGGTTTCTTGGGGATGTGGGTTGGTCTTTTTACTTTTGTTTCACACAAGCACCTATGGCAAGGAATGCACAGAATAAAAGAAAATGTAATTTTGTTTTCCCTGTTGGTCTCTATGGTTGCAAACTTCTTTTTGATCTGCTGGTTTGAGTAATGCCCTCATTCCTGCAAGGAATAATGATTTTTGCCTTTCAAATTTATGAAGGAGACAGCTTAAAAAAAGCTTTGTTTCCGCACACCTGAGCAGCCCAGGGATAAAGTTGTGTTGTCAATTATATGAACCATTTATATATATGTATATAATTTTTACATGTACATACATATATATGGGTGTGTGTATATGCATATATAGTGAATTAAGGTTATGCAAGCAAATGGAATGATTCTGGTTCTCCCTTACTTTTAAAAACTTAATTTGGCAATCTTACATTTTTTATAGTCCTGCTTTTAAAACAGTGACTTTTAGAAATGTTTGAAAACCAAAATTTTTAAATGTGAATTTCAGTTCTGTTCATTTCTGGGGTGCTAAAATTAGGCTTTATGAGTATTGAGAAGTATGAGTAAGAGAATACACAGGGCACAGGAAGAGATCATGATTGAAAATTAAAGTAGAAAATTAATTTTTTTCTTATTGGGGATAATCTAGATGTAACAGGATAATGAAAATATGTATTAAAAGGAGCTATAAGACAAAAGCTGCTGAAAGATTAATACATCAGAATTCATTACAGGAATGCAGCTTCTCTGGTTTATTTTTAGACATCAGGATGACTTTATTGCACTGACTGCAGTCATTGGGACATATTCTATAGACAAAGATCTACCAAGCCTGAAATTTAAAACTGGGCATACTAATGCTGGAAATAAACCACATATTTCTAACAGCATAAGGGTTCAACTTACCAATGAATCTGTATCAAGGTAGCTGAGGCAAAGCACAGAGCAAGGCAATATCTCTGCCCTTCTCTTCAGGGCATTTTCTGAGGGAAGTCTGCCAAAAGAAACATAAGGATCCAGGCATGGCTCTCTTTAGAGCCTTACCTGGAAAACAATTCATAGCAGGATTCTGTGTAAATAGTCTCACACTCAAAATTCTGTCCCTTATGCTGGAGTTACTCCTAAATGCCAAACTGAACTTCCAGCATTAGAAAGGCTCTGTGTGAATCCAAGCTGCTGCCCAGGCAGCTCCTGCTTGCACAGGTACCTCTCTTGCCCCTTGTATGTCAATTAAAAGAGTTTGTAGGAGGTACTGCTGGCTCTCAAAATAACAATTCCACACACAAGGCTACACTTCAGCCTTCCAGGCTTGTTCCTGCAGCACAAACACCAGGGTGTTGTGGAGCTCTCAGCTCACATCTCGTGTCTGTGACTGAGTTTTCTGGCTGTTGTTGAAGCAATGTCCCTTCTCCCTCTGCCATGCCATCAAGCCTCTCACCTGTAGAGAACACGGGATAGCATTTCACAATGGTTATTTTTATATTATTTATATCATTTCACAATGGTTATTTTGAGGTCCTATGCAGAGTAAAACCAGAAGGGATTTCTGAGGAAGGTTTCACAAGCTTCTGTCTTATCCCCTGTTTCTCTGTAGTGGAAAATCCCCCCCAGGGATTAGCCTTTCACAAACTAACTTGGCCAAACTTTTCCTAAAAACTCCTTTGCACACCCCTGTCTCCAGTATCATTTCTGTGACTTTAGAAAGTGATGGATCTGCTGACATTTATTTTCATACTGTTCAGTCTGCCCCAACTCCTCTCTTTTTTTTTTTTTTTCCCCTGTTTGCAGCTACTTTGCTCTGGAAATCTAAACCTTTCTGAACTCTCATGAACTCTCATTTTTTCAATCACTCTTCTTTAAATGTTTCCTTTAAAATTTCTTCAATCTCATTTCTGCATGGGCTGAGCTTTCCTTCAGCAGCACTGTTAGTGCAGACAGAGGAGTGTGCTCTTTTCACTGGCTGGGTCTTACAAAGTTTTGCTTTTCTTGCAGATAAAGGAAGCCAACTTTTGGGGATCCAACTTTGTCATGAGTGGCTCAGACTGTGGCCACATTTTCATCTGGGACCGCCACACTGCTGAGCACCTCATGCTGCTGGAGGCTGACAACCACGTGGTGAACTGCCTGCAGCCTCACCCCTTTGATCCCAGTAAGAGCAGCATCCTCACACTCTGCACATGCAGCTTATCTGCACTAGAGCATTTCAGGCCTAAACTCTGTCTCAACTGAGCAATGCAATGATTAATGAGATGTTGTTCATATTTCCCTATGTAATTCAGATAATAGTGCTTTTAATTTTGCCTCTTACTAATGACCTTTGGCCCTTAAATCCCTCCTTATGCAAAAATTTATTGAAATCAAACTACTCCTGGCACAGAATTTATAGAAATACTGTCAGATGTAATAAGAAGAATCTCAATTTTTTGCTGCCCTCAACACATAAAATGTTTTCTATGACACTAATGAGGGAAATATAGGGTTGTTGAAATGCCAGCAATACTTGGAAATTATATTGGAATCTGGTCTCTACTTGGCTCTATTAAAAAAATACAGTGGAAGTGGGTGTCTCCCTCACACTGGCATTGTGAGATTAGAATAATTAATAAAATTCATAGAAATCCTAATAAGTTGTGTTTAGAGGAAATCCTTCATAGAAAAGATGGACCAAAGCAGTAGAAGGAATCACATGTAGCTGGGAAATCTGAACCATCCTCTAGCCTCTGACACAGTCAGAGAAAGTATTTGTGGTTTGTTTTTGGTTTTTTTTCACAGCTTACCTGGATGTATAGTAAGAGTCAGCTATTAGTAAATTAGCAAGTAAAGTTGTTATAATAATACTAGAAGAGGCTGGGGGTTTTTCAAACAGTTTGGGGGAACATGGAATACTGTCCTACATAGGGTAAGCCTTGACCTTTTAACTTTTTTATTGAAATTGACTTCTTTTACATGTCCTGAGTTGGATACTTCCTTTGGAAGCACCTTTCAAAGTGCCCTGTAGCTTTGCTGATGTCTTGTTGAACTGTGTCACACTCTGAAGGTGTCACTAAGAGAGCTCATCCTCCTTATAGGACAGTTACTCTTGTTCAGCTTCCCAGTTACTGAGAGCTTTCTATGGAATTTTAATTCCTCCATTGGCTTTTATGCAATGATCTAGAGAATGTTCTGCAAATTTTCATATTTTTCATACCTTATTTATAACAACATCCATTGAATCTTTATATTTAAGTATCAAATAAATTTACATTAAATTCACTGAAATTATCAAAACTACATTTGAAATTATCTTGGTTCTGCCTTTGTACTGGGTCTACAAATTCTAAAGCTTTGTTATTAATGCATGTACTTATCAGCAGAAATGGATCAGTAGTGGCTGGGTTTGCTCTTACTTTTTGCTTCTATCTTTTATATATTTTGGTGGTTTTTTTCAAATTTAAGCAGGGGGCTCTTGATGTTTGCATTTGTTTTCTTCATATCTATATAGATAGATTCAAAAACAATCTATGGAGCAGACCTCATGTGGAGACTTGGTAATTACAAGCTCTGTTCAGCATGAGATCTGACATTTGCAAATAAGTGCTTCAAGTGAAATATTTTTCTCCCATTTAAGAGCAGAAAATACCAATAAACATAACACATTTAATTTAGAATAACTGGTTTTTACTTCTAGTTCTGGCCTCTTCGGGTATTGATTATGATATAAAAATTTGGTCACCACTGGAAGAATCCAAGATTTTTAACAGAAAACTTGCAGATGAGGTAAGAGCCTTTCCTCCTTTTTCATGGTAATGTTTTATCTTTAATTCTATAAAAGCCTTTGGTACAAATTACTGATCTTGAATTAGCAGAGTTATTTAATATTCAACAAATGAGCTACAAATAAAAAGCTGCCCTTCAGAACAGCTGACTTTTATATCCTTGGCACTTTGCATTTCCTCAGCTCTCCTAGAAATTATATAACATGATCTGCTATTATGTACATGAAAGGAGTTGGAAGAAGTGTGAACACTCAGATATAGATGGAAAACTGGCAGGAATTAATAAATGAACATAGTGCCTGTCTCTAAACAAATAAATGAAGGAAATAAACTGAAGGTAATGCAAGGATATACAGAACAGCACAGAGTACAAAAATCAATCCTATTAAATATTCAGTGGCATAAAAGGGGCTTAAAGGTTAAGATTGCACATGGGAACTTCATGGAATAAAGCAAACATTGCAAGCCCAATCAGTTATAAAAGTCCAATGTGAAGTTATGTAACTCATTATTTTCATGTTGCCCTCAGAGCAATAACTGGATATAGCAACTGGCCTGGGATGACCATATAGCTGACTGCTGAATAATCATATTTGAGTGATTTACATAACACAATGTATCAAAATGTTACATGGTTTTCTGTAAATAATATTATAGGACAGATTTGGTTATGGGGTGGTCAGGTTGGGGGCTTTTTTTGAGAAATCTCTTAGGCACTACAGATAGAGAAGACTGGGGATTTTTAAATAATTTAATTACTCTGTAGTAGTGCTAAATATATTTTCAACAAAGAGGAACACACAACCCTTAGCCACCCCACATCCCTTGAAAAAACCCCAAACCTTCCACTTGTGAGTTTTGAACCTTTCCCATTATTTTAGCACTGAGTGAAGAGACCCTTCCTTGCGTATTGTATGACAGCTTTAGTCATGACATGTTTTGGAGCCTTTGGGGTTTAGAAGTATTACTAAATATAAATGTGGGCTAAAATTAATTATTGTACTTTAGTTCCCTTCCTTTATTTCTAATAATTGCAAATTATTTAGACGTTTAGTTATGTTTTCTGTAATAGAAAATGTAGAACTTTCAGAAGAATTGACTGCAGCATAACAAAACCATGGTTTTTGTTTTTTAATTTATTCCCTGTATTGACATACCTATGTAGGGGACAGGAGATGTTCATAGCAATAAAATAGTTCTCACCATGTTAAATTTGGCTGGAACAAGTGTCCAATGTACCTGAACTGAATTTTCCAGAGAAGGGGGAGGGTCTGAGGAGAAAACACATGTTTGAGGAAAGTTCTGTATAGATACAGAAATGTATTTAAAATTGAGAAGGGGCCATGACCTTAGTGAATAGGAAAAGACAGTGGGGATAAGAAAAAACCTCTGAATGGAGACAAAGCCTCAGCACCAGGTTGTCAGGGGGGTTATTGATGATGTACTGGAGAGATATGGGGTGACAGAGGAATAAAGAGCAGCCTGCTGCCTTCTCAGTTTGCTTCTGTTAGGGAGGGATCAGCTGTGCCAAGTGCCTGGCAAACAGGTGAGAATGACAGGAAAGAGGTGGGAAGGGAGAAGAAACTGCAAACATTTGCAAGAACATGTTCCTCACAAGAGGAGCAGGCTTGAAGAGTCTCAGAGAGAACAAGAATTTCATTATTTTCCTGTCTTACAGCAGCTGATCTGGGAGCAAAGACTGAAAAATGGTCATAACTTGTCTCCATCTAAAGAAATTCTTGTGCTTAATGATAACAAAAGAATCTAGTCTAAAAGCTGGCTGGGATTACGTACAGTGTGGGATTAAAATTTATGGAGGAAGAAAGAAGGATGGGAAGGAACTACCATGAGGAAGGAATGAGGGAAGAGAAATAAAACTATTCATTAGTGGATTTTTTTTCCTTGAAAATGAGACAGTAGGAGCTGGCTCTTTCAAGTAATTTAGAGGCAAGCTGTAGCTCTGTTTACAAAGAATTATGGAGCTAAAGAATGTTCCTGAAGTGGGATAGAAATGGCTTGTGTTCCTTGGATTTTCTCCAAAAGTTTCAAGCAGCATGAAGGTAGGAGTTGAGGGTAACCTCATCTCTTTTCCTTCCCACATTCTTGGCCAGCACTGGTGCTAGAACTTTGTTCTCTACAACAGTTGCCATCTGGAAACAGCTCTTTCTATCATCAATCTGCTTTACTTCATGAAAGATTTCCAAAGTTTTTCTTAGTCACTTATCTTAGTATCTGCCATGCATGTGGACAACGGAACCACGATCTTACTGGAACATTCTTTAGACAGATAACTGGACACCTGCAGGCAGAGTCCACTGGCTGATTTTTCTTACCCCAGACAAGAGTATGAAATAGCAATTATTAAAATAATGCTCCCTTATGGTAATTTTGGGTTCTGTTTGCACAGAAACTTTGTATCTACAAACCCCTATCAATGCAGTATAATTCTGTGTTAATTTCTGATGCTGGTTTTTTCCTTTCCCTGCCTCCAGGTTATAACTCGTAATGAATTAATGCTGGAAGAGACCAGAAACACCATCACTGTTCCAGCTTCCTTCATGCTCCGAATGTTGGCTTCGTTGAATCACATAAGAGCAGGTGAGAGACTTCTGAAGAGCTTGTCCACAGCACTGGTCTATGAAATAGCAGGTTGGTTGGGAAATCATCAAGACCTTAGCTGGCTGTGGCTGTACTTGGGGTTGGTGAGAAGATTCATGGGTTGTTCAAAGTTCTCTTAGTACTTAGGAATTGCTTCTTTGGTGTGAGACTTGCAACATCTTTACAGCTGTTATTTTTTATCTCAAAAAAAAAGAGCAAAATATGTTTTTAGATGTTGAAAAATACTCTCTTCAGGAGTGATCTTTTCACTGAGTATGATGGGAAAACTATTGGGGAGGACTGGAATGAACTGTAAGATAAAGTGGCTGTGATTGTGGGAGTTGTCTAGGGGTGAAGGAAGGTGTGAAGAATCAGGACTGTGGGAGGCATTGCTGAGGCTGCTGGCAGCTGTTCCCAGGGCAGCAGGATGTCCCTCCAGTTCCCATGGGGCTGAAAGTGGTGATAAGAGGGTTGCATGGAAGAACATCACTGGGAACTGGATGCTGGTGCTGGAGAAGCTGAGTGCAGTGTGTTGACGCTGAAGATGGGGGACAGTGGAGAGACACCACACACTGTGTAGGAAGCAAGGAGATGAAGTTTTGGGAGGCTGGCATGGCATACGGGGCAAAAACCTAACAGACCTGTAGATGAAGGTGAAAGTGATGGGAAATAGTGATTATGGGGACTCTGGCTGAGCAGAGCAGTGGCTTGCAGTGCTGAGGTGTGGAGGAAGCTGTGCCTGGTGGCAGCTGCTGCTCCTCTCTCACCTCTGGCTGCTCTGGGAGCCAGGAGGGTGCCATGTGTCCAGCCCAGTGCTGCACCTCCGTGCCCCTGTGTTTCCTTCAGTTGTCCTTCTCTCTTCTGAGTGAAATGCTAAAAGAACTGCCCAACACTTCAGCTACAACATTTCAGCAAAAATCTATTACGGCTGGGTGGAGTGTTTCTAAACCTCACTCAAGCATGTTGCTTGAGTGAGTGATTGGTCTTGAGCCAGTCATGTTCCCTCACACATTTCTGTATTTGCTCTTATCTAATTATTTACATCCAAAGGCACTTTTTTGATGTATTGAAGTGACAGGCAGATTCCCCAGTTTCTGGACTATTCACATTTCTAACTGTAACTATTGTAGTTTCAGCTCCCCAGCACAGCCCTTCTGTCCCTTGTAGTCACCATCTCATTTTAATGTTGTACTTGCATTCATCTTTTCTGTGCTGACAGCCAGTCAGCAGCTACAAGGTTTTTCCTTTTGTACACAGATTTTGCTTTCATGCCTGGAAATCCTTAAAGGCATTTCTCCTTTTCTCCTTTCTTGTGGTAACATTTCTACCCACTCTCTGCTGTAAGTGCACACAGACTTTCTTCTACCCTTAAACCCACAGCCATATCCCATTGTGTAATAGTCTAGGGAGACAGTATGTAATAAATATTTACCAGAAAAAGAAAATTTTGGAAGTTCTTTTTACTAAATCTGTGTTTTGCAGACCGATTGGAAGGTGACAGATCAGAAGGATCTGGCCAGGAAAATGAAAATGAAGATGAAGAGTAACCAACAGTTGTGTGTGAGCACCTGGAAGTCAATGAAATTTGTATAAGACATTAATTATATTTTTCCTTACAGAGCTTTAGTGCAATTCTGAGGTATTGCTTTTGGATAACCTAACCTTTTTTTTTTTTTTTTTTGAATGACTGTGTGCATGACTTGGGGAGAGTGTGCAAGTTAAAATAAACAAAAATGTTTTTAAAATGTTTTGCCATGTATGAGGGGTGCTAGAAGATGCCAAGTGCAATATTTTCCTTAAACAGCAAATGTGAGAGCTTGGATCAATGTTTTAAAGTAACTTTCATGATAGTAAAAACGTTGGTTCAAATAAATTTCTATACCTGCTGTTTGCATGTTTGTTGCTTTCTAATTAAAAGATTTGGTTGTTTTAAGTAGTTTTCTGGTTTTTCTTTGTGCAGCAATTGGTTTATCACCTTGTAATTACGACCCCATTGCTGCCTTTGCAGTATTTGTATTCTTTCTTACAGTGTTTGTGAAGTAACAAACACAATTATTTCTTGCAGTGAACACTGGGGACTTTTAAGACCCTGTGTCTCTTGATTCTTGCATTTCCCACACTTATGTAGGCAAAAATTCTCTCTCCCTCAGTTGTATAATGTCACTTCCCATTCCCTGTGCTTGGGTCTGTAATGCTGTGAAATAGTTGGATTTCACTGATAGATCTGTGAGTCTGCCTTTGCAACAGCAGCAGGTACATCTTAATTTCCACTGGATTTAGGGAACATGAATTTAAAAATGCCTGTGCATTGTTTCCTAGGAGTAATTATCTGGGAAGGCTGTTCAGTCTGTTTTATGGGCTTTACCCTTCAGTTTTATGGGCTTTACCCTACAGATTTCTGGATGGCATTGGGGAAGAGAAAGTGAAGGAAGGAAGGTGGAGCAGTGGAAAGAGCTGTTTGCTTAATGGCAGTTCTTGCCAAGGATGGCAGATGTTAAGAGGCTTCACTGGGGAATACAGAATGCTGGGAAGAATTCTAAATCAGGGGGATGAGGGTACTGGAGGCTTCATTACCCTGCTGACATTAAAATACACATTCATCACACAAGCTGCACAAACTTTGCTGACATCAACAAAAGGAATTCCCCACACTAGATAAAAAAGAACATTAGCACAACATCCTGATTCACAGTGCAGGCAGGCTGAAGGGACATGGGGAAGGGATATAAAGGGAAAACTAAAACAACTGAAAGAGATAAAGAGAACTTTGTGAGGGAGGAGAAGTGGGAATTGTATGGAACTCAGCTGGCAGTAACACTGAAGATATTCCCTTGGGCAAAGGAAAAATAACATAAGGGGAGAGGAAAAGTGTGAGGAGATGGATAAGGGTGGCTGGGTGGTTTCCTTGTTTGTTTTAAAGGAGCAGTTAAGAAATCATTGAAAGTGATGCAGTGAGGAGAATTTGGCAAAGGAGAAAATAACTGTTGAGGAAAGAGGATTTTGGAGTCAGAGGGTGCTGAGAAGAATGGACACCTCAAACGCTGGAGTGCTGTGAAACCCAGGAAACATCACATCCTGAGGAGGTCAGTGCAACACAGAGAGGATGGAGATCTGCTATGTGTTTGATGTTTACCTAGCATCAGCAAGGGAGAGGAGAAAATGTCAAGGTAAGATGCTTGTTTGTTAAGGAAATGGAGTGAGAGGAACAGCTAATATGGATGTCTGTCTTTTCTGCTGGAATAAGTGGCCCTTCTGTGGGAGAAGGGAGCATCACTGTAATTTTTTTCTCATGAGATAACATTTTAGTCAAGCATGTTCAGATCAGTAAGAAATGAAAGAATATTTTATGACTTTGTGGTGGATCTGTTTGGAAAGGGATGAACACAAGGGTTTAGCACTATTCAAACCTTGCTGCTCATAGCAGTGCACTGAGCAATGTTTTTCTATCACATGTAAATTAAGCTTGAATTTTTATAACACGGGTTCTGCTCTCATGAGATTTAAAAGAACTATACAGGAAATGTCTGAGGTGTTTAGTGTATAGATAAAATAGGATTGTCTGCTCCACTGCTGGGGCTCCTGAGCAATTTTGTGAATGAAATAGAGTAACACAATGCTAATGCAGTTGGGTTCTCTGTAGTTGATTTTTGAGGTAATTTCTTCCAAAATTAGCCCTGGTGTTTCTACAGAAGCCTGACTTGTCTTATTTAGAAATTATTAGTTTTCTGCCTTGAAAATAAATTCTTCCTCGAGTAAATATATGGACAGGATAGCTTTTGTCTTCCCCAGAGAGGTTTAATAAATCACTGTGGATATCTTTCTAAAAATAAAAAAGCTGCTTCTGCCACTTTTGCTTTACTTATAGCAATTGCCAGCAAAGAGCATACCAACAGCAATAATCTTGTCTTTTTTTCCCACAGTTCCCCAGTAGGAACATTATTCCCAAAATGTCTCTTATTTATTCAAAAGCTAAATATTAGCTTTAATTCCTGATGCACAGCTGCGTGTTTACTGATTAAAAGGAGGATTTAATCTCAATAAGGGAAAAAATGTAATATCTGGAGATTTTTTCAAATTTCACTGAAGCTTTTCAGGCAGTTTTTCTAAAATGAAGATATCTATAGTGTTTGGGTTGGCTTCTTTTTTTTTTTTAATTAACATTTATGTAATGGGCTAAATCTGAGTTCCTAGAACCATACAATAATAGGAGCTGTTGGCAGAAATGGGAAATATTGGCAATTCCTGAGTTTGCAGCTGCAAAAGAATATTGGAAAATGTTATGCAAATGTGCAGAGAAGTTAATCAAAGCAATAAGCCATCCCAAAGCCTCACAACTGGAGAAGGAAATTTCTGCTTGGGGTCTGGTTTCAGGCCGGGGCTCAGAGGTGGGTGGTGCTGCTGGAGCTCCCTCTAGTGCCCCGTTCCTGCTGCACTTGGACATATCCAAAACCTTTATTGTCTGATAGCAGCCCAAATTTGATGGACAGGGTGGTGATAAGGATACAGGGAGCACCTTCTCCATGTGAGGATTGCACATGCACTTCAGCACTGTCATTGTTTGTGTGCTGGGAAGAGCAAGGGTTCAGGTGTCACTGCTCACTTCTAGGAAGGATATTCTTAACACAATTGCAAAGATCAAAAGCAACTTCTCAGCTATGTTGCTACAATTCCTGGTAAATAATTTGGTGTCTTGAAGCCTGGGCAGATGGTCCCTGTAGGACACAATCTCCTTCAAATGACAAAGATGCTGAGCTTGTTCAAACCACTCTGAGTTCTGCTCTTTGTGCCTCCCCTGATGCAGGCAGGACAAGGTTTGTTGAAGGCATCCAGCATCACTTGGATTGTGCATTTTTCTTACCTAAGCAGTAGATAAATGTTGCAGTAGGCTACTGTGTACACCTTTAACTCTTTGAAAATATCCCAGATGATGTTTTTGAGGAAGAAATTGCAGACGTAAATGTTTAATAAGGGTTTCACTGGCCTTGCACCAACAAAATAACCACTGAGTGTGTGCAGAGGATGAATACGCTGAGGGGCTGCCTGGGAGACTTGAACCATTCTTGTATGGAAAGCCAGTTTTTTATGGAAATATCCCACTGAGCCAGGCTCAGGCCATCACTCACAATCCTTGGGAATAGTCCTGTTTCATGGGCAGAGCTGGCAGCAGTGTTAAGAAATGAGCTGCAATTAGCAGCAGTTGGATCCCAGCCCATATTCCTCCTGATCCAGTCACACACTCAACAAGAGGCCAACCCCAAAAGCCTCAGTTGAAGCACAGGGAATGACACAGGAGGCATCTGTGAGGTCACTGCTCTGCCTAAACAGAGATTGAAGTAGTCTTTGAAAAGTGGGGTGAAATCAATTTTAGCTCTTTCCATAATCATAACGTGCACAAATACCTTTAGCTGTGTGAGCATCCAGTTTGTCTTCTCAGTGACATTCTCTGCTGCTGAGTCTGAGTTATTTAAGGTTATAGAGATTTATTTTCAACAGGTTTAAATGTTCCTTTTAGTATTTGCATTTGCTTTGTTCTCTTTGATGAAAAGGCACCATCCACCTTCTCAGTGCCTTTTAAGAACTTTCTGTCAATGTTCCCCTCTAGATTAATTTCCCTTTACTGGCAGAGCAAACTGAAGTTCAAAAAACAACTACTACTACAACCCACAGCAAGGTGTTTTGACAGGAAAAATAGGGATATGCTACTCTTCAAAGCAAGCTCCTTTTTTTCTGACTATTTCTCTACCCATATTATCATGCTGCCTTTTTTTTTTTTGCAGGAGGATGACTGTACACTGGTGCATAGTCCATGGAATTTGACAGATTCACTATCCAAATAAGAACTGATGGCTACTAATTTAGGAAAATCTCGCTTAAATAGAAAACCCTCTAAATAGAGTTTGTTAATGAGCTTTGTAACTAATTGGAAAACAAATCCCAGGGAACTGCAGCTGTTCACAAACAGCACCGCAGTTCTTCTCCTTCCCCTCTGCAGCATGACTCCATGCTCAGACTCTGTTTCCAAGATTTTCTCCTTCCTCACCTCACTTCTTAAGAAATTTGGTTAAAAACCACATACCTTTAAAACAAACCTGTCACAGTTAAGTCATCTAAAGGAATGACAATTAACACAAGTACTTTTAATGGTGGGTTGAATGTGACACTTGCCAAGTTGCAAGATGGGGTTTCTGTTCCTCAGAGAGTGATGGCCATTCAGTAGTTGTGCAAGGTGAGTTGGGGTTCAACTCTTGCTGACTTAATGTTGTCATAGTTGTCAGTAGGCAGCTCTGAGAATGCCTGTTCAGCACTTTGTTCATGGGAGAGTGTTTGGGACTGCTACTTAATTCCATGAGCATTCAAATTCGAAATACTGTGCTTTAAAATAATTTGTGGTTATTTTACCCAGGATTAGAAAGAGCAAGGAAGAGTTCTGTAAGTCTTTAAATGAACATAGCTTTAAAAATAGTGTTAGGCACTGTGACAAAACCTTTTGGCTTGGATGCTGGTTGCTCTACAGCAGCTTTCCAGGCACAAGGACATAGAAGACCTACTTCAAAATTCTTTCCAATTTTTCTCAGGTGGTTTTTTTTTTTCTTTTTAGATATAATTATACTGTGCACCTGCTACCATTGCATGTAAAATTTGTGCAATGAGTACACTGAAGAAGGGGATTCTCTCTGTAGCAGGAGCTCTTGCTGACCCCAAGAGCAGGGAGACTGGCACTCCCCCAGAGTTACAGGCAGCCTCTCCATCAGCACCCCCTCCCCATGGCAGGAGCAATTCCCAGCCCTTCTCTCCTTCCCAACCACACTGTGTGTGCCTGCTCTGGGGCCCTTGGTGCCACCAAGGGTGACAGTCACACACTCCCCCACCACACTGAAAATCCATGTGGATGGCTCAGAAACTCAGCTTCATTCACAGCACTTGAATGCCAAG